CCCAAATCCTTCACTTTTGCTTTTCTTGCTTTCCCTCTAGAAAAACCTGGGTAGAGAGTCGAACATGGGCCAGAGTCCTGTGTACTCCATACAGGTAGGACGTGTCCTCAGGTCAGACTTAAGCGCTCGCCTCTGTTTTCACAGCTTTGGCAGGGATCACCACTCTGTCTAGTGTGAATACACCATTTGTTTTCCTCTTCTTTCAGTTTGCCATTGGAAAAGTCCATTACTGCTGAGTGACATGACTAAACAGTAAGGGAGAGAACAGTTGATGTGTTAATAATTCTTAGGTAAATATCATTTGTTATTGTCACCACTGAGGCTTTCAGAGCGGTGGCACCATTCCTGATCCCGCACTGTCTCATTGGCTCTGTCTTTTGGCAACCTGGAAAGACAGGTTTGGAGAGGGAAGGAATCTGAAAGGGATTGGAGAGCAGGAGGAAGGAAGGGTATGGGAATGAAATAGGGACTCCGAAAGAGACAGAGACAGCAAAACAAAGAAGGGCAGACACATGCACGCACATATGCACATTTCCACACACATGCACACACCCACACAAAACAAAGCAAAGGAGAGAAGACAAAGAGCTAATGATTGATATTTTACCAGGTCCCACACTCTCTTGTACTTCTTCCTCAGAAACGCTGGCACCTGTACATTCATTTATTAGCTGCTCTTTCTTGGCCCTTCTGGTCCCATATCTTCTTTTGCATCAATATCTAGGATGTGCAACCTCCCTGACCTGCTGTGATCGAGAGGGGAGGTGATGTTGTCTGTACTAGGAAAATCAGGATAAGAAGATTTCATGGCATCACCATGGAGGCCGAGAGGAAAGCAGAGATTCCCTGGGGATGCCTCTGTGTTGGAGGTGGTACACTCCTGTGATTGGGGGTGGGGGCGCTCATAGCCAAGCAAATATACATTTGAATGGAAGGATTTGTGACTAGGTGAACAGATAAACTGGCTTCTCCTCCTAGTCCTTGAGTCTGACTCTTATGACAACAGTTAATGTCACGTAATTGTTCAGATCTGGAGCTATGCTTTTGAGGATATCAGACACAATTTTTAAAAATTTCTCTCCCTAGCTAGGAATTGTCAGATATGATTTTAACCCAGGATACATGCCTTGAAGACACCATGTTGACTGGGTACCATTTCATTCCTAGGCTGGACATCCAGAATATCTCTCTATGGGTCGTATGATTCTACAATGAGTCCCTTACTTTGTTCAATGCACAATATTCTCATAGTGCTTTTGAAGAGAGACAGTAGTGCATCATGATTAAGACCCCTAGCTCTGAGGTCTGCCAGTCAGAAGTTCAAATCTCATCTCTGCCACAGACCAGAGACATCTCAGGCAAGATTATTACCTTTCTAAGCCTTAATTTCCTCATCTGTAAAATGGAAATAAGAGTAGAACCTTTATCATAGGGTGAAAGTAAGGATTAAAATATAACAGTAAAATGCTTAGCACAATACCTGTATGTATAAATCTACCATAAAGTATAGAATGATCAGGAATTAGAGTCTGCTCACTTGATTCCCATACCAACACTGGGAAGCAGGTGTATGTTTCCATTTAATAAAGAAATTAATGTGTCCACAATCTCCAGGCATTTAGCATTGAAGTCAGGATCAGAAAGAAACCATACCATTATGACAGTGGGCTTCCAAGAGACTATACTATGAGAGAGAGAATATGAAGAGAGAAAAACAGGGATCAAGATTTGGTCTTGGGGAACAGATGCTATGAAAGAGATGAGAAGAGTAAGATCTGGAAAATAGCTACTCTAGAAAGCAGAAAAGCAAGGATTTCACTGTTGCAGAAAATGAGGGAGATCTTTTCCCAAAATACAAGAGAAAAGGAGTCACTGGGATCAAAAATCATGAAATTGAAAAAAATACCTTGCCGTTTGAATTAAGAAGGTTTTCCCCTTATTTATTCAACAAATATCGACAGGGTCATGGGCATATATGAGGCATATCCTCGCTCTAGGAGTGTGTTGGTAAAGATGGAAATCCATCTCCGTTCTCTGAGAACATATACCTTTGCAGGAAAAGTAAACAGTATAAAATAAACTAGTAAATGAAAAATGTAACTTTGGTGCTGCCCCTTCTGAGGACATAAAAAGTGGATAGTATATAGTAAGAATGATTTGGGTAAGTGGGCAGCTAAAGCAATTGTTATTAGGAAAGTATGCTTTTTTAACTGAGACCTAGAAGAAAGCCACGTGAAGATCAAAAGGACATTGTAGGTAATGAAGGCAGGTGAAACAAAGTCCCTGAGGCAGGAATGAGTTTTACTTTGACCTTCAGAAAGGCATTGCTACTGACTCTTTGTCAACAGAGGCAAGACTGTGATAGCTAATGGAGAAGAACTGACTTAAAAAGAGATAGAGACCCTAAGGGTGAGTTACAAGAAGTTGTTCTTAAAAAGATAGAAGACAGTGGTCTCAGTTCCATCTGGACCAGAGAGTGGGCAGCAGTGGCCACACTTATTTAGGAGACCTCTCATTTCCCTTCCCCTTGCAGTGATATCCCATCTGTGCCAACATTCACAACCAGAAAGTTATATTTTTAGGACATTGGTGGGGTTTGGAGGTCAGAATAATCAAATCCTCCCACTCTAAAACTCTACTGACAGCATCAAACTTGTTTGTACTCGAAGATAATGTCATCATTCCAGCAAACACAAGGGTTTTTGCTTCAGATCTTTTTTTGTTTTTATGTTCTCTACAATTCAGGATCACCCTTGGTATCTAAGGCTTCCCCAGTCTCGACTTGATGATTAGTTTTTCTTGCTGCCTTTTCCACCCACACCCCACCATCCCAGGTCAGATCCTAGAGCAGTGTGATCCAGTGGAATTTTCTCTAACCATGGAAATGTTCTCTATCTGGGCCAGCCAATGTGATAGCTACTTGCTGCACATGGCTGTTTAGCCCTGAAAAATGGATAATATGATTAAGGAATAAAATGTTTAATTTATATAATTTCAATTAATTTAAACTTAAATAAGCACACATGGCTGGAGCCTATAGTTTTGGATAGTGTGGGAGAATTAAAATTCAGGAGGGTTGATTGTTTCCAGTCACTTTGCAAGTTCTTTGTGATTACTGAGAAATAAATCAACACAAGTAAGTAACACCCAAGCCAGGGAATGAGGGGATTTCTTCTCAAGGAGAAAAAAATGGGATATATTCAAAATTGTCTAAGTTTAATATGCAGGACTATTATTAGCATACTTATTTGGCCCAAACATGAACGTATCACCTCTTCAACATCTGAGATCGTTATTTCTCCAGTGTGTTCTAATGAGTGTTAATTTCATGAATTCTTTGATGGAAAAGACCCATTATCAAATAGGTTTGGGAAATTGAGAACACCTTTACTTTCCTTCGTACATTCCTGATGTGCATCACCACCATAAAGACTCTGAGAAGGACTACAGTGCATAGCTCTGGAAACGTTTGTCAATTTAGTAGTTCTCTATCACGTTTGACCACAGAAATTTCTGAGTTTGTGGTGTGTGCATGAGAGAGAGGGAGATAAAGAGAGAGGGAAGGAAGGAGGGAGAGAGAAAGAGAGAAAGAGAGAGGGAATAGAGAAATACTAAAGGTAAAACATGCATTTTAGGGGTGTAGGGAGTGGGACGTGGGTAAACGATGCCAGATTTACCACTTATTATTAGCTGTGTGACCTTGAAAAAGTCAATTAACATCTCTGACCTTCATTTCCTTCATTTGAAAACTATGGAGTATATGAATCACATGCTTGCATAATGATTAAATACAATAGTATGTATAAAAAACATATTGCAATTCTTGAGACCAAGAGAATCTTCTCAAAATAGTTAGGTATTATTATTTTCATTGTCATTTATAAAGTTGAGTGACTAAATGACAAACTTTCTGAACCGAGGGAAAAATGTACTGTGAACTGGCAAAGCCCACTTGTTGCCTATTTTTAAGCATTGTACTGGAAATCTGGAGAGATTAATCTTTTCTAACTCCCTTTATTCATCCTTAGTAATAATGTATACCAAGCCCTGTCTTCCTGCAATCCATCTCAACACCATAACCAGAAGGATTCTTTTGATCCAGAAATTAGAGTGCATAATCCCTCTAGGCTCTCTATCTCATGCAAAGGAAAAGCTAGACCTTCATAAAGGCCTCCACCCTCTATGTAATTCTATCAGCCAGTGGTTCCATTGTATCATTTCCCACCATTTCTGTTCTGGCAAAGTGACATTCTTGCTGTTCCCTGGATAAGACAGAAAGTTTGAACTTGCTTGTACCTCTAGTATGGGTCACTCCCCTCTTTATCTGTGTGGTTTGTTTCCTTACATCTTCCAGCCCTTTGCTGACATGTCTCTTCCTTAACCCAACCTGAACTTGCCAGTGCAGCCTCACAGGCTCCAGCACTCTCAATTTTTCCTTATTCCACATTACTACACATGCCGTATCCCATGCTTTACTTGTTGGTGTTTTATCTTTGTTTGCTTCCACCCAGTGAAACATAACCTTGTCTTTTTCATTCTCTACCGTAGCTCAATGCCTAGGGCAGTGCCTGGCACGTAGAAGATGCTTGCTAAGTGCTTCTTGGGTAAATGAATGCAGAAGTCATGTATTTTCCGTTACATGACTCATTGCCTTTCCTCCAAGCTCAGCTCTGGGTAGTTGGTTGAAGAATGAAACAGACACTTACAGGATGGTTTCGGTGGTTTTTATTAGTGTTTTCTGGGACCCATCAAACATACAAAAAAAAAACCCCATATTTTGAAAAATATAATTCTCTAATAAAATAGGAATACTCAGTTTAAGTTTAGCATAGTTTAAAGGGAAAGATTTCTGATCGTTTTAAACAATAGAAGCAGTAGGGTTCCTTTTCACAAATTGTTAACCCAAAATCCGTATGGCAAGAAAAGCAAGAATTACGTAGATAGCTACAGAGAGATTAATCCCAATTTAGTTCAACTTGTCAAGGCTTGCACATTTTAAAGGTTTATAAGACAAAGTCTCAACATTTTTTTTTTCTTTCAATGCTGTCTTATTCCAGAAACCAAATCCTGAAAACCAAAGCTGAGGGTAGATTTGTTCTGATATTGTGAGTACTGTGATATTCTCCCATCCGGTAAGTACACATGAAAGATCTGCTACACTCTACATAATTAGACAAGCTCCTCATGTATATGGTTCCATGCTGTGCACATGGTAGGCACTCACCAAATTTTTTTTTTTAAAAAACTATAGAATAATATAATGATGTGTCCCTCTTATTGCCTTACCTTTTCTTATATTTTACACATCTGAAAAATAACACACTTGCAAAACTAAAATCTAACATGCGTTACTAACCTTATCAAAAAATCCCTCAGAAAGAAAAATAAAATAAAATAAAAACCAACCCCAAAAGGCTAAAACTTACAACTCTTTTGTGCTTAAATAGCAATTTACATCATATAAACACATTCATAATCTTCATTGGTGTCAAGGGGTTAATTACTGGTGCCTTGTACCAGAGAAGTCTCACAGTTCCAAGTAAGTTAACAGAATTCTCCTCCAACACACGCTGACTTGTGAAACCAAACAGCCTGTTTGGGTTTTGGTTCAGCGCTGGTGGGAAGGTGAAGTAAAAAAGTCTCACAGTAAAATGTTCATAATAGATAATATGTCCCAGAAGATTTGGCTATGGTGCTCTTATTCCAGTGAAGAAATGATTCATGTTCCAATTATAGATCTGGCCTCCCAACCAGAGACGTCTTCCAGAAGGCAGTCACTCATTAATTCAACAAATATTTACTGTGTACCTGCATCATGCCTGGTACCAGAAAAACAATAGTGCTCACGACATCATCTCTGCCATCAAAGAGCTTACAATCTAGTGAGACAAGAACATTTAGGAAGGATCAGTGTGTTCAAAGGAAAACTCATAACTTGGGTCTGCCCCACTCGGGTGACACTTTCAAGAAACTGTGTTCTGAGAGCCAGGACCTTGCTCAGGTTTTATCAAGACAAAGCCCCACATGATCTAAATCTTCTGAAGACTCAGCAGTACATTGTGTGACTTAGTTTCCTATAATTTGCTAAGAAAGGAGAAAGAGTCTTTGATTTAAGGAGGTTCTAGGAGACTATGTTTAGTGACAAGGTGGACATCCATTGTGGATGAGCTTCTCAAGCAAGGAGCTGTGTACCCATAACAAAGGGGATGTTCCTCAGTAGGCCTTTGTATGTCCTTTCAACACTAGTAGGAAGTACTCTGTTCACAGCCCAGGTTGGCATGGCTCGATTACCTTGAGCTCTCCAAGTCACGAATAGCACATAGAAAATGCAGCAAAGTCAAGCCAAGACAACAGAGAGATACGCTGAGAACTTAACACCGCAGCCTATTTAAATAGGTGCCAGGTGCCAAGGAACTGTCACTTTCAACAAATAACACAACTTGCTGCTTATCTGCAGAACTGTTCTCTTTAGTCCTTCACAGACTCACCTACTGCCTAGCAAAGACTGTTCCTCAAAGAAAACGTTGCAGAGAGAGAGACAAAGCCCATTAGCAGGAGGGTGAGGAGCTCCTAGGCTTGAGGAAGGGTGAGCGCAGGGAAGATTCAGCTAGTAGTGATGGTAAACAGGCAAAACCAGGGAAAGAACGGCAGAGAATTGGCAGACGCCTCTAATAACTTCACACAGTTCGGACACACGTGTTACACACATCGCCAAATTGTGGGAAGGCCTACACATATTTTAACTTTGGAAAGAAAGGTGTCTTCATACAGGCATAATGAGTGGCGTAGTCCATCTTTGCTGTTCAGTGTTATTATTCTCAGTTCCATCAATAATTGTTACTTGTTAATAAAAGCTGTGTGAGGTTCACCAACCAGGCAGAAATGAAGTGAATCTGGCTATACTTTCAGAAGGTAGATCACGCATGCTCCAAGATCACTACCCATGGTAGTCCTCATTATAAGTGGAATGACTTCTTACTTTTTCTTACTTCCATTTGTCTAAATACATATACATACTTAGCAACCAGTGAGTATGAACTGCTCACCTTCACAGGGTAAGACGCAGTGGTAGGGGCTCTACTGGCAGATGAAGGGTTCTCTTTCCTATTAACCATAGAGTTGCTGAAGAAAGAGAGGCAGGATGAAGGAGGAAGTCAACAGCATGAGGAAGCCAAAAAGCAAAGTTGCACAAGGGATCTGGATGGTCAGTGTCCAAATTGTCTACAGATTTCCATCCTGAATTTCATGATGCAATGAGTCACCAGGTATTCCAGAACTATCCCAGTAGCTTCTTCTTCCCAGAAGCAGGGAAGAAGCTTCCAACGCCTCACTTCCGAGCTGACTCTTCTGTTTGTCTCTCCCATCCTCCCTGCCTTTTCTTTCTTTCTTGTTTTTAAACATTCCTCTGAATGCAAGTCTCGGCAATAAACCATTCACTTTGAGATGAGTTCAGATGAGACAGAGATTGCTCGAAGACAGAAGACTGTAATAATTAACTCATGCGAAGAGGGTTTTCCCTGGTTTTCTGTTCTTCCTCCCCGTCTCCCCCACCCAAGTTTTTTCACCAACTATTCTAGGAGAAAGGAAGAACAGATAAATCATTCCTGAATAAATAGAAAGCCCCTCACCATTATTCTTCTCACTGATTTCAACATTCCAAGTCATGTGATTATGCACTGATTACAGCCCACCCTGGATTCTGGAAATTCCCATACTCCACTCAATGGCTCCTAAATGTCAGGTTAAACTTTCCAGCACCCCTCTGGTTTATCCCAACAAATCTGAAACCCTGAATTTCATTCCAACAACCATGTCCCCTCTCTCAGTGAGGTCCTATGGGTGTTTATGTGCGAAGGATACATTGTCTTTTCCTAAATCATTTTGCATAGGAAAACATGTAATGCCCTCTAAATTTTTTTTTTCCTTTCTCTTAGCAAGAAGCACAAGGCAACAAGCCCTGTTACTCTTGTGGTGGGAAAAAAAAAAACCTTCACAACAGAGGCACAAGCAAAGCATGATCACATACAGCATCATATTTCACAGAAAACTGTGTACATTTGTTCCCCATATAGGACATACTTCAAAGTAACAAAAAAAAATTTCATCAACTGTAGTGTTCCTTCTTGCCACTAGAAGTAGATTTTTCTCCCCCATGGTACATAAATATCAGAGAAAAGTAGTCTTTGAAATATTTACGTCCAGGAGTTCTCTGCTGGTTATTAATTATTTGGTATGTGTTTTGGTTTGTGTACCAAGGGGTGGCAGCTTCAGTTTTCATTTTCTCTCCACCCACGAGCATTCTTCCCAAATTTGTATACCAGCCTGCGTCCATCCACCCGTTCCAGAATTTCTCTTTTGTAGTAATATCTGTAACAGAGGAAAGTGTGTAAGGTGGCTGCTCAGATAGAGACTTCCAGGTAAATAGCCAGTTGTATAACCTTATCACCTGGAGAGACATGAAACGTCTCACCTCATGGCCCGGCTGAGCTTTTCATACGTCATACTACTGTTGTTTTTCTTTTTTCCCCATAGCTGAGCCACAGCTTCTGATTTCAGGAACCTGAAGATGCCTTCAGACCGGTCTTCCCACTTGATTAACCCTGGGTTCTTGTCTGGATTCAGGAGGATATCACGGATAAATTCCCACAAATGAGTCCCTCTTGGGTCTGTCAAGAAGAAGAAAAGGAGGTTTATTTTATCCTACATCACAGCAAAGAAAGGACAGAGAGAGCACTGAGTTATAATTTCTCCTTTCAAGTGAAAGATACGCTATATTTTCCTCTACTGGGTGGGGGATAATGGAACACGGAATCACCAAATATTGTACGTTGGAAAAAGCATTTGAGCATGAACAATTAGCCCAACATTTTATTTTATATATTTTAAAACTGAGGCACAGAGAATTTAAGTGATCTGACTAAAAAACACAGAGTCAATTATTGGCAAAGTCAAAACTAAGGAACAGATCTTGGGTTTCTTAAGCTGGGGGAGCTTCTTCTAATTATTGTTCACAACTTGCTTGGGTTTTATTTCAACATGTTTTTCCCCACGGAGCATTTTCAACCACTTTTTTCTCGTACCTCACCCCATTCAATTACTCCAGTCTAGCAACCCAATTAAATTAGTCTGATCCAAACATAAATCAATAGGGCTGCAGAATACATATTAACTACTAGAATATATGGGGGAGCTGGGTATCACACAGACGCTGGGGTGCCGATTTGAACATAAAGCAACCATTGCAGTGAAATTAGCAACCAAATTCAACTTTATTCCCACTGAATTTGTGACACCTTCCCCTCACACACACCATTCAGGGGGTTATGCTAATTCACTTTTATGGGATGACCTAGGATAGCAGATACTATGGACACTTGGATTCTCTATAATTTCTACCATCTTCATTTCTTTATATGGCCTCTCAGCTCCGTATCTGTTGTCTCACCTAAGTTCACAGGGCTTTATTATTGAGTGCAATTCAACTCCCAAAGAACACTATAAACTCCTAGAACGAATAGTCATTTCTTGGAACAAAAACCACACCACAGTAGGAGGGTATCATTCAGCCAAAGAAAGAAAGGGAAGGCATCTCAGTTGTTTATTCCCATCTTGCTCCTCTTCCCACCTTTCTTATTCTGGGAGAGAGAAAAATCTCTAACCCTCTGCCTGCAAGAAGCTCTTGTTCACTGGGGTCCTGGATTTAGAATAAATATGACATGGTGAGGAGGAAACAGCCAGGGGTTCCCACTTTGAGGAACAAGTGCACACTTCCCACCTCCATGTATCTGGGGTTCGTTGTGAGATACATCATATGTGAATAGTTACATCGCAAAGGCCTCTATTTTCTCTCCAAGGCTGGAGCAAAGAGATGCAGATAGCAGGTAGGAAAAACCTTGGCCTGAAAACTAGGGACCTACAGTTACGGCCAACACGAAGGAAAGGACCAAGGGCCATTTGAAAGTCAGGTAACTTACTGTGCTTTTTGGTGTGGGACTTCGTAGGGTGGTCTGGCTCTTTTTTCATATCAGGTGACTCTACAAATGAGAAAATTGAGAACTACTGAGTTTATCTATTTCCTACAGCATCATTTTCATTCGTGCATCTACTCCTTTAGACAATATTTATTGAGGACCTACTGTGTGCCTGCCACTGTTTCAGTCTGTGGTAATGAACAAAACAAAGCAGACTGTAAGTGCTGAGGAGCAAAGTAATGCAAGGTAAGAAATGAGGATAGACATATGGAGGTGGGAACGATTTGCAATTTAATCCAAGGTGTTAACAGCAGGCTTCTCTGATAAAGGGACTTATGGGATGTGAGGGAGCTGGCCATGCAGAAAGCATGTGGAAGAGCTTCCCGTGGATGAGGACAGTAAGTACAAAGGCCCTGAGGTTGGTGTGTGTGTATATGTTCACTAAATTGAAAGAAACCAGTATTGGTGGGAGCAAATGGGAGAACCGTAGGAGATGAGGTTATCATCCTTAATGCCTTTCAGGCTTCTAAATGATCACTCTGAGAGAGACAGGAAGCCATTGAAAGATTGAGGTCATTAGACTTTATTCTTTTACATAATCTAAAAATATAAACATTTACAACAAGGAAAGATGGCTGGTAAGCCAGAAGAGTGCCGTGTTTTTGGCATGCAAAGTTCTATTTTAATCACCCTGACAAAGGGGCCATTGAGTAGTCTGAGCACAGTACAGAGGGCCACAGTGGCCTATGGAAACACATATTAGCTTAACAAATGACTCAACTATCACCAAAGCAGAGATGACAGAGGCAGACCTTAGAAGTAAAAATTCTTGTTTAAAAAAAAAGTGCCACATTCTCCCTTGCGTGTGGAAGGTGTACAATCTCATACAAGTAGAGATTAGACTGGTGGTCACGAGAGGGGAGGGAAGCAGAAGGAGACACTGGATAATGGTAGAAAAGTGCAGTTAGATCAGTCCCAGTGCTCTACAGCACAGCAGCATGACTATAGTTTACAGCAGTTTATTACATATTTCATAATTAGCTCAAGGAGAAGGATCCAAAGTTTCTAAGCACAAAAAAATGGTAACTGGAGAAAAGATAGAAATGTGAACAAACTAACCTGAGTTGGTCACTACACATTGTATGCATGTATCAAGTTATCACACTGTACCCCATAAATACATTCAATTATTATGTATGAATTAAAAATAAAACAGAAAAAAAAAACCTGTGTGTGTGTGTGAGAGAGAGAGGATACTGTGAGTATTGTGAGATACCCAAAAAAGATCCCATAATCAAAAACCAGCCAATTATAATACAAAGGAGTCCCCAAATACAAGTCCATCCTTCTGAGAAGGAGAGGCAGCTTGTCTCTTCCTGGCACATTCCAGCAGGGCTCCTTCACTTGGGGCTCCAGGACATCTGCACTGACTGAATGCATGCAGAGGCAGAGAATAAACAGTAATCATTCCATTGTTCAAAAAAGTTTATGAGTACAGCCACTGTGGAAATGAATATGGAAATTCCTCAAAAAATTAAAAATAGAAAGTCCATTTGACCCAGCTATGCCTCTTCTAGGTATTTCCCTGAAAGAGATAAAGACCTACTACAGTGATACGTGTTTACCCGTGTTTATAGCAGCACAACTCATAATAGCTTATCTCGGAAGAAGCTGCCTATCCGCCCATCAGCAGATGCATAGATAAAGCAAATGTGGTACTTGCACACCATAGCACATACTCAGCCATAAAGAAGGATAAATTTGAATCATGTGTAAGAAAATGGATGCACCTTGAGTCCATAATGCTAAGTGAAATAAATCAAACACAGAAGGTTAAATATCTCATAGTTTGTCTTCTCTGAGAAACCGAAAGCATAAAGAGTAAAATAAAAGACAGATGCTAGGAAACAAGAGTATAGACTTTGTGGAGATAGGAAGAAGACTTGGGGGTGGAACAGGAAAGGAGAGGGAGTGAAAAGGGCCAAGATGTGGTCCTATATGTACCAATTCCCCACAATGAATGTATTTAGTATGTACCACAAATACACACTAATAATTTTTTAAAGTTCATGAACCACTGGACACTAGCTTCTAATTAAAATGGCAAGAAGAAAGCTACTGTTTATTGAGTACCTACTATGTACCAAACCTATACTAAGCACTTTACACAAATCATCTTTTGCGATTTATGCAATAACCCAACAGGTTGGTACTATGTACTAGGTGTTACGCTCTACAGTTTAGCTGTGGCAGATCTGAGAAACACAGAACTCAAATGACTTGACTACAGTCACATAGCCTGAAAGTGGAGCCAGGACTTGAAGACAAATAACTCTGAACCCAGAGTGTTCACTCATAACCACTCTTCTGTGCCATGTCCTTCACCTTTAACACATAACCAATTACACAGAAGTCTTTACTACCAAGAGTCGGGTTCATTTCTCTCCTGCTTTCATTAGGAAAGAAATAATTCCAGTCTAATTTCCCAATGTACACGGGCCCACTGCTCTGCCTCATCAGCCAGCTGGCCATGACTCACTTCTCCCAGCTGTTTCTCTCAAAGCCACGGCAGGTGGAGAACAAGGCTTGAATAAGAGCTGGGGAGGAGAAAAGCTTCTCATTCTTGTCAAGAATGTCTCTCCTGACGTCGTCACCAGGAGGACCTGCACCTGACTTGGATTTCTGTGAACTCTGGAGGAATAAATTCACAGGAAATGGGAGGAGACTTCACTCTCCTGTCTGTACGTTATAAGGTAATGTTGCAACATCCCATCAGGATGTGACAATATTGCGACAGGTCTGGCACCCATCCCGGTTTCCAAGTGATACATCACTCTGACGCGGCCACGTTGTTCTGCAGACAAAGAGTGGCATTTACCCAGCAGGCCACAAGCAAAGCTCATTTTCAAATGGCATCCAGGATGGTGCAGGGCCATTATTTCCCAGCCAGGGCTAAATTCAGAAAATCGTGTCTCTCAGTATATTGTCTTCGTTGTGAATTCCAGTTGAGTGTGGAATGAATCACTTTGGGGTTAAGATACCTCTGTGGATAAGATAAAAACCTGGCTCCTCTCCCCAGAAAAAGGTACATATGTATACACTTGTGGAATTCTGTCACAATTTTAAGGGTTCATGGCCTATCCAAGAGTTCACAGACTCTAAATTAAAAGCCCCCAGACTAGATAAACCATGCAAAAATTTCTCTGTAGGGTAACAGGCATCTACCCAGCCTGGTCCTCCATCTAGCTTCAGAAAAGATTTTTCTAAAATCCCACTTAAGAAAAGATATAAGAGGGGCTGGGGATTTAGCTCAGTGGTACAGCGCCTGCCTGGCAAGCGCGAGGCCGTGAGTTCAATTCCAGGTACCAGAAAAAAAAAAAGAAAAGAAAAGAAAAGATATAAGAAATAATAATAATAAAAGATAAACCATGAAAATGTTCCTATCATCAGATGGGACAGTAAACAACCAAAGGCAGAAAAAATATCTAATTTCTTCCAGGTCCAATCCACAGTATCACCGAGCTGCCTGAGCACTAAAATCTTTTGATCTACAGCTTTAATACAACCAGCCTCTCTTCCTCTCTCCTCCCCACTGCCGCAAAATAAAAGTCAAGACCTTTGAAGTTAGCCATGTGGTTAAGTGATTCATTATTATAAAATAATGGCCCTCTCCGGGGAGGTTGTCCAGCCTGGCTTTCTCTCACTCCTCTCCCAAGCACTCCGGGCCAAGGTCCGCAAGGTCCAGGCAGGGGCATGACAAGGCACAAGTTCATGATGCAAGGTTGACAGCATGACTTCAGCTGAACTGCTTCGCAAGAAGCAGAGATTAGAAGCATTTGCATATGATTCAACTGTGAGCCATCTCCTTACGGGATATACAAATTTCAGTGTTCTAATAGACCATGCCACCCTCACTTTAGACTCGACAAGTCAGTAGATAAACACATCAAGCCTGTGTTGGCATGAGCGGCTGCAGGACTATCGAGCAGATCAGAACACTGGCGGCAGCCATTTTATAAAAACGGGCAGATGACAGAGAAATCCAAACAAAGCCGCTTCCCCACCTGCCTTATCACAGAGGCCATCAGTTTAGGCAAGCCCCGCCTTAGCTCCGCTTAAACTTGCACTGAAACTTAGATATGTATTTAACTGCACTCAATTTATGGGAGCTTGAAATGTGAAAGACTCAGGCTGGCAGCAAAGGTCTTTTGGGGGATGCTGGTCCCACTCAGTACAGACAAAGCAGGAAAAGACAAGGATGAGGGAGCTAAAGATCAGCAGATTCATAAAGTCAACTTTAACCAGGACTATCAGAAAATATTGGGCAGGTGGACTCAGAAGCTAATAAGCCCCATGTTACTATAAGTACGCAAGCAGAAACTGGCCCCGCAGGCCCCTGCTGTCTCTGAGGTTCTACGAAGTCTAAATCAAGACACAAAAAGGGGAAGGAAGACCTGGCTGCAGATCTGTAACTATTAGGAAAAGTTCCCCAGGAGTCTCCAGTCCTAACAGCTGCCAAGGCTCAGGAAGTGGTTAGTTCAGCTTTATTCGTAGTTAGAATCTTTTGCGATAAACCAGAGGCCCAACCGGAAGGAGCTGAGAGGTGACACCTTAGGAAGTGTGAAAGGAAATCAGAGGGTGACTTCAGTGGTTTCCTCAGTCCCGAAGCCTTTAGTCCTGACTGTGGCAATGATTACCACAGAAATTGTACCCTGGCAGACAGTTCCTCCAGAGTGGCACCTCGGAGCCTTTCCACTGTTTGATCTGCTTCCTCATTTCAGCAAATAACTGCAACTTGGAGTGATACCTAATGCTGAGGGCTTTGGAGGGAGAGGAAGTAGCACGATGACTTGGCTTCAAGTCATCCTTGTCAGCCTCAATTCCAGAGCCATTTACACTGGATCCCAGCCCTGTCTCATCTGAGGGGCTTGACCGGAACAAAACCAAAAGCTCTCATGACTTCAGGTCTCAAAAACACACTGAACAGAAGCAAAACTTAAAAAATAAATAAAAAGAGGAAGGATTGTTGTTTAATCCCCTGATTAAATTCCAGTTCTGAAGTTGTCCCAAATTCAGTTCCTGGAGAATGGCGTCTTCCTGTGTGACTGACATGTAAGTTCCAGTTCATAGACCCAAGAGATCTAGAAATTTTCATTTAGGTCAGGAAAGCATAAAATCTGCTACACAGGTCATTCTTATACCATCTATGCTAATGTCCCCATCTGTAAGAGAGGGCTTTCATCTGAAAGTCCCTCACCCAGATTCCTGTTGAGCCAGCCCTCTCGCTAGTGTAAACTTGAGTAGGAGCCAGGAATCAGATTTTCACAAAATGGAACCATAATTTGCAGAGTACAGGTGCTCTGATTGGAGAGGACCAATGAGCCATCAGGATTAGATTTAAAAACCAGAACATAACACGACCATGGGGTTTCTGGAAATTTCCAATGGCTACTCCTGTATCCACAGACCATCATCATAGGATCATGACCCCTGAATTCCACTGGTAGACATTCTTTCTCTATAGACAAATGTAGTTTGAAATTAATGTTCGAATGCAGGTGAAAATTAAATACAACCTTCAACAGTTAATGCCTAATTTTTGTCTTCTTTTTGATCAATTTTTTGTGCTTCTATCTGCTAATCTGGACAACTAATTTGAAGACAACAATATGTAATATATCAACCACTGGTAAATTCCTACCATCTTGTCTAGTGAAACTCTGTATTGTTTCTATGTTTTTTGTGACTATTTTTTATTCTCTTTAATGATTTGCTCAATCTTGCATTCTTACATCTGGTAATCTGAGCAATTTTGTTGAAGATAACAATATGTAATGTAACAGCCATTGTTAATTCCTATCATTTTGTTCTGAGACCCTGTATCATTTTTATTGTTTCTGCTTTGTTTTGTTTTTTCTCTGTGTTGTTGGTATTTCACTATTGTTCTTTTTCATTATTCTCTTTAAAATAAAAAACCCTCTTCCCACATACATACAATTTTTTTTTTCAGATATGTTCCAAGAGCAAATTGTTGTTAAAAAGAGAGAAAAGCATGAACAAAATCTGTTGTCATAAGATAGTGATTAGTTTCATGAGACAAACACTTCTAGAGGAATCCCTACTGGTCACCTCTTATGTCTAAATATTGGCTCAGAGGAACACCTACTCCTATAAAGGTAACTCAGTTCTGTGTTTAACTTCTTAATGAGAAAGACTGTAACTAAGCAAAAATGTGAATGTTGATAATTCTGATTAATTCTCAGTAAGCACTTGCATTAGTCACGTTTAGCCTCAGATGACAGCGCAACTTACCAATAGGAAGGTGACCAGTGGTTGTCATGGAGATCTGGGCCCGGCAGAAAGTTTTGCTGTCCAACAAATCTGTAACAATGGAAACATAAAAGGCCTGAAAAGCTCCCTCCTTATAATATCACACTGTGACAGTTAGACAATCAGAATAAGAATGGAAAAGGGCCTTTGATGTTGGGGAGTTAGTTACCTACTGTGCTACCATAGGTGGTGTCATATAAATAGTTTTCTTCTTTCCAGGTGTTCATGATGGAGGGGTCTACAAAGAATAGAAAATGGGGAAGATCAATAATTATTTTCCCCCAGATGAAAAATCTGCCTCTTCTAAGTCCCTTGCTCATTAAGAATCACTGGGGTAAGAAGTGACCCTCAGAGAGAAGGGATAATATTCTGCTTCAGCTACATGTTGGCGTTGTCCTTCCAGGGTCATGGGGGCAATGGCGTCATGGTCCTCTCTGTGTGATCCACACCTATTGCATTTGGGAAGCGAAAGGAGCTGCAATAGTGGAATCCTGTCCTAGACCAATACTTTAATTTTCCTAGGAATGTTTCCACCCTTCTCTAGCACTCTGTAATCACCAGAATAGTTCTACCTTGGGGTAGAGGGAAGCCCTTATGAGGAACGAATAAATGTATGCTACATGGTTCATGAACACCTTCTCCTATAAAAATCTTCCTGAGAAAATCAGTGGTGTTTCTGGTTTTTGTTTTGTTTCCTTTTGTTTTCTGAAAAAGTCTCCTGAGTCTCTCACAGCTTCTCCATTTCTGAGACTCAGAGAGCACTCTCAAATTGAGTGACAGCCCCATCCTTCTGGGGTCTCTCCAGTTAGTTCAAGGGGTGACAAAAGAATTCTCAGAACAACCCCTAAGAGAAGGGAAGAGAGCCTTCCTAAATCAAACAACTTTCAAGAACGGGGCTCTGCTGCTTCCTCTCTGGGGAAAGGAGCGCTGGCTTTGACTAGCTGGCTCTTTCTCCTGAGTGCTAGGGAAGCTCACCTCACCCTGACTAGCTCTTCAGACTCAGCTTCTAAGGAAATTCCCCTCCACTTACCCCACCTGAAGTCCAACTCCCACATAACCCCTGGATCTTGGCTGGTCGCCAGCACAGCATTTGCTTTCCTGGCTGGCTAGGAGTGCTAAGATCGCTCACCTTCTCCCTGAACCCACCCCCCAGCTGTACCCCGACACCCTTCTTTCCCTTTACCGTAGTTCAAGCTGCCTCTGCCCCTCTCCTGCCTGGGTTCTAAATTTTAGGGCCAGGGTGGTAAGCCACCAGCCGAGTTTCATTTTGTTTTTATAGCATAAATGGTATAAAACCTGACTCACTGGCTAAGTCCTCCTGTTTACGACATAGAGCTTTAGCTGGTATTTTAACTAATAGCTACGTGTTTGGGCACCCCAAGCCCAATCTCTTGGGGTTACACCCTCTCTCCTTGTTGGAGCACTTTGTACACCTGTTGTTGTCTCTGAAAACAAACTGCACCAAAGAGGCTTGGGGGTGTTGGCCCCTCAGAGAGCCTCTTCTCCCTTCCTTCCAGGGTGGACCTTCTTCTCCACCCTTTAGTTTAGCTTTTGTGACCTGGCAACACAAGAATGTCTGGATGGTCAAGGAGGAATTATCACAGTTTTTGAGACCTGTCCAGTAACACTCTGGGTCTTCCAGAGGGGTGATCTGTAAGGTGCGGGGACAGAGTATCCTTTTAGCCAGAGGATGTGTCTGTCCCTGGGCCAGGCCTATAAAACACAGACCATCCAGGCACCCTACTCCCTAGTCTATCCAGAGCAAGGTAGGGTGAGGGAGGCCTAATTAACATGCTTAGCAGCTATTGTTTTCTTTTCTTTAATAATGGCAGACCAGCCCCCTTATAAAAGATTAAATAACTGCATGGGCCAATTTTGGTGCCAAGTGACTCACAAATCACCCCAGGTCAAATTCTGTCCTTGGTGACTGGCACGCAACCCACAGGGCAGCCTGTGGCAAACGTGGTCAGCCCACATGGCTCCCAATCTTCCTGATGTGGACACAGGGAGTGGCTCAGGAACAGTGGCACCTGCACTTTTATCGTGGCTGGAGACTCTGAAGGACAAGCTCCAGGAGAGAGATGTGGAACAGCAGAAGGGAAACAAAATGAGCACCGATACTATGGGACCATAGACTCTTCTCAGCGCATCTTTCATGTGAAAATGTCCTTAGGAGAAGTTGAGTTTCATGGCTTCCTGTAGACATCTCTACAGGAGCCCTATAAGGGCTCCAAAATCTATGCCAAGTAGACTACCAACTCAGTGTCTCCCTCCTTGTAAAACACACTCCTATCAGGGAGGTGGGGGAGAAGCAGAGACACTCACTTCGTTTCTCTTGCCCTGCTTTCTGAATTTGGCTATATCCAAGCCTTCCCTCTTTGCTGGTGACAAGGCTCACTTTAGATTCTGTGTTTCTGCAACTGCAGGCCAGGAGTCCAATGATGCCCTGACCATGGTAGGAAGTAGACAAATGTGAGCTCAGCACCTCACTATGCATCAGAAGGAGTTGGGGGACAACAGTCCCACGGACAAAGGTGGCCCATGGGAGCCACGCAGGGTAGTGGCCTCCCTGGCTTTCTTGCCAAAACCTGCTGCCATGCTCTGTCTTGTGCTCCATCCTAATTGCCCCTGCCCCCACCCCAGGACTTTGCCTAGCCAAGTTGGCCCTCTGCCTCGCTCACCACTCACCGTTTTGTTCAGTCTTGACAATGACATTGTGTGTGGACTGGAACAGGTCGCTGCTGCACTGGCCTGTGAAGGACACATTGGAAAAGTCAGAGAGCCCAGATGGAGCCAAAACTCCATGCTTCAATAAGAACAGAGCTGGCTTCTTTGACAAGTAAGCTTCTGTCACCTCACTGCCTGCTCACCTATGTTTGCTTATAGGAGAACGCTTCCTTCTCACCCTCTACAGGTTCAAGCCTGGAGATGTCCCTGACCCCAGAAAAACCAGTAGTCTAGGGCATCCCCATCAGCTGGAATTATTTGGCATTGAAGAAGGAAGGTATCCAATATGCTGGACATAGAACTTCAGAAATCAGAAGAGCAGTTTTTCTATTTCTAGCTTTAAGGCATGCATCTGTCTGAGTTTCAGTGTCTTCATCTGTAAATGTAGGGGATTAAATTAGCAGCTCTAAGCAACTTCTAGGTGCTTTCCCATATCAAGATATGAAATGAAAACAAAACTACAGGGAAAACCATTTTAACCAGCTTGATTCTTCTTTGATTTTAAATTTGATCAAATCCATCTTGATTAGATCCACTATATGAGGTACACCTGGACAAAATGCTGTAAGTCTTTCCTTATTTTTATGACCTCAGCACTGGAACAAATGGTATGCACCTCCTGTCTTAGTGGTTTTTTACAATATCTCTTGAGTTGTATCATATAAAAGTATGTACATTATATGTAAGTGAATTAAGAATTTTTTTCCCTGTCAGAGAGACTATGACTATTTCATGAATAGAAGTTGTGTCTCTAACCTCTCTGACCTTCAGGTTTCCCAGCTGTAAAATGGAGACAATATTTATTTTGTCATAAGCTCATTCAAGAAATTAATTCACTTAGAGCAGCCAATATAAGTAAATAATCAATATAAGTTCATAGAATGTATACCAAAAGAACAAACAATAAAACAAGGGTGAGAGTCTGACCATTAGGCACTCAGAGGCCATGGCAGCACACAGCCAGAGCAAACAAGTCATGGGCGGTCAAAGATGGAAGGTTAAAGATGGCCACAGCACCTCCCAGACCTCCCTGCCTTAGGCTTCAGTCACAGCAAAGCTTTAAAGGAGTAGATTTAATTGGAGGTGGGGAGGTAAATATTTTTAATTCTTCAGATATAAGTCGGCTCTTTCTGAAGACTCCTGGGAGTTATTTATAGGGCCTTGTTTAGTTTGGTCCTTGTAAATGAAAAATGAGCAACCAAGGCGGCGAGGTGAGTGGGAAGAAGGGCGTGCCAGGGTGCTGGATGAGGTCATCCAAAATGGCCGCCCGAGCTGCCCGCTCTAGAGCGAAACTCCTGGGTCCTCCTCAGTGTTGACTGCAGCTGTCAGGGTCTGACTCTGCTTCATAGTCTTGGAACTCACATTTCCTTATCCTTATTCACTCACTCAAACACCGGTTCTGCTAGACATAACTACCCTTTCCAGTGTGGCTGCACCAGCTCACTGTCCTTAAACATTCCTCCTTTCAGAGGAGCTCATTTTACATCCACTATCAGAAGAACCTTACGGCAGTGTCGAAGGCATTCTACAAGATGAGTTGTCTGTCCTACAGGGCCTTATGAGGCAGTGTAAAATGTGTATGTGTTAATACACTATCACCAACGGACAGTACTACTTGGAGGTGCTAGGTGTGAGGTGCCAGGTGAGGACTGCAAAGAGACACTTGAGGCTTTGGGGCAGCCTTGAGGTTTGAGAGTAGGATCCATTCCAGAAATCACCACAGAAACAAGCACACAAGTCCAGACGATTGGCTCTAACCATTCTTTCTTTCTTTTTCTTTCTTTCTTCTTTCTTTTTTCTTTCTTTCTTTCTCAATCTTTCCTTGTTTTCTTTTTCTTTCTTCCCTTTCTTTTTCTTTCTTTATATTCCTTTTATTTTCTTTCTCTTTCTTTCTTTTTCTTTTTCTTGTCTTTTTGATATGAACCTCTTAAGAATCTGCCAAAAAGTTATGAGCCTCTTCCCTCCTAAACACACAGATTTCATTTTCCACATCTTTTTACTACCTTAGACCCCCATTTAAGAACCTACATCTAGAAGATTTGTTTTATCATTGGCTTGCTTTTAAAGTACTCATGATAACCTTTAACAAGCAAATGATTGGGAATTAAACTATTGAACTCTGTTAGCAAAGGTTTTTTTTAAAAAAGAGTTTTCTAGGAGGAGCAAGTATCCTGTGAAGGCCCAGCCAGCCTCTTGTCTCCCTGGGTATGAACACAGCCAGAAGAGAGAACTGAGTTATAGAAGCACTCATAAGGGATCAGACACATGGGTCCCCCAGGTTTTGTCCCTGTCTTGTCACCTCCTTCCTACTTCCCTGTCTTGGGAAATGGTCATTTGGAGATGAGACCATTCTTCACTGTTCCTGATGAAGAACCCACCCAGCTGTAGACCTCTGAGCTCTCCCGCCACCACCTAGCAGGACAGGGAGAGAGACAGTCACCATTCCACTTGAGATGCTGCAAGCTGCTGTAGAGCAGCTGCCCCGCCGTGCCCGCCGCTCTTGTGAACTCCTGCAGGCTCATGCTGCACAGGTGCTCGCCATTGATGTCGAACTCCTGGAAAGGGATGCAGCTGGCGTCCAGCTGGTTGGTGTCCAGGAGATGCTGCAGCCATTCCCACACCTGATACTTGGTCCAGTACTGGGGGTGGATTTCATGCCACTGGCCTCCAAAGAACCCGTTGGAAACTGCAAAACAGAAGGTGACGCTGTGAAGGGTCTCTGGTTGTTCCTGGGCATAGTCTCACACTTGGGGTGCCTTACTGGCTGCCGGATGCCATCGGGGACACAGATCACGAGCATCAGTGTGGGGGCTGGAATATGAGACAGGCTCTGGAAAGTGTGGTTCTCTTCCCCACTGTGGCAGGAAGTTACTGAACTCTGCACCTTCACGTTCTCCCTACCATGGTACTTATATCCTATACTGAGTGCTCGGCGCTCACATCTGCCCCACCCCAAAGTGACACAGAAACTAAAGCACTGCTGTAGTTTCAATAACTTACTAGCTTGTTATCCACACCCAAATACAATCATCCCTTGGTGTCCATTGGGGTATGGCTTCAGGATCCCTCATGGATACTAAAATCCTCAGATGCTCAAATCCCTTACACAAAATGCCATGGTATTTGCCTATAACCTAAACATACCCTCACATATATTTTATTTTTTTTTTTTTTTTTTTTTTTTTTTTTTTTGGTTTTTCTCCGGTACCGGGAACCGAACTCACGACCTTGCGCTTGCCAGGCAGGCGCTTTTGCCGCTGAGCTAAATCCCCAGCCCCCCTCACATATATTTTAAATCATCCCTAGATGTCGTGCAACCCCTAATACAATGCAAAAACTATATAAACAGCTGTTGTGCCATATTATTTGGGGAATAATGACAAGAAAAGGTCTGTACATGGTCAGTACAAGCACCAAAATTAGGTATAAAACTGATAGGCCAGGCATTGAGTCTCTTCGCTAACTATTAGTGACCCATGACCCTTGTCTTCTGCACTGATTTTTCAGTGTATTTCTATCCTACCTCTTACTCCTGTTGAGTTCCTACCTATCTTTCAAACTTTGACCACCAGTATAGCCATCACTTACTTCCAGGACTCCCTGTCCTTTCATTCCAGGAGACATGCTTGGGATTTCGCCTAATGACCTCTATCATATCCTACTTTCTTTACAAGTCTCTGAGTACTGTCTTATTCTTCTTTTTAAATTGTGTTCTCAAGGTCAAGGACTCTGTCTAACACATCTTCACATGGCCTATAAAATGACTTTGCCATACTAGATTCTCTCTATATATTTATGCAGCAGTATTGGCTGCTGAAGAAGAAATAATGCAGAAATATGGAAATATTGGGAGATGCATTAAGATGTTTAATGCAAATACTAGTGAAGGAGTGAAGTTCATTCAAGTAGATGAGTATCATTACGCCTATTATGGGCTAACCACCTATGTATGTGACTCTCTTCTGCTCAGGTAAGAGAATCTTATATAACTGATCCAAAGTCATATGAGAGTGGGAGGTGGTGCTTTGGAGAATGGACAGCCAGTCTCTGGGGCGATGTTATAGTCCCCTCAAAAGAGATGTCAAGAGGAGGAGCTCTGTCCGACAAGGGTGAGAAGCAGATTTTATTGCATCCCACTCATCTTGAAGCAGGAGAAATCCAACTGAGTATGTCAACAACTCAAGATATAACCCAGGAGAGGGAATGGTGTTTGCAGAGAAGCTACCTCTAACTGTCTGTTCAAAGCTACGCTAGATCACTACTTCCCAAAAGTTAATGCAATCGTGAGCCACAGGGAAATGATGCTCAAAGGCGGATTCTGATTCAGAGGGTCTGGGGTGAGGCCAGATTGTCTGCATTCCTACAAATCTTCTCACAGTGCTGACGCAGGTGGGCTGTGCAGTGATGAGGTGACTTGTGGTTCTGAAAGGCCTGATTCCCTCAACACCCAATTACTCAGACACCCATATTTAGGATTTCCACATCCCCCAATTTATTTGGTGTTTCATGAATACAGCTATTTAAGAATGGATATATTTTTGTAGCTCCCCAAGCTTTGATCCTTTTCTACCTTCCAATAACTGTGTTGCTGTGATGCTGAAGTTCTAATTTTGCCAACAGGATTTAACAACTTTCCATGACCCCACAACAGAGCTGGAATAATCACTTCTCCAAACTTAATATGATCTAGATTAAGGGAGAATTTCTGTTATTGTATGCTGTTCAGACTGGGAAGAAGCAAGAGAGAATTTTGTCTGAAGCTAATGAGGTGGGGGATGTGTTATCAGACAGAGAACTCATCAAATTTCTGGAGTTTCAGGAGAAACAGTTGAAAGTTTTGAGAATTCTGATCTCTGTCATTCAGTTGACCTTCCTTTTCTAATCTTGATAAAGACCTGGCCTTCTCTGGAACCTTTGGAAATTAAGAAACAAAAATGGCACCCAAATTCTACTTTCTGCTAAGTGAATTGCTCTAGTTTTTTCCAAAGTAAACAAACAAAATAACTGCTGCCTTCTCATCAAAGGCCCCAGGGCCTGAGGATGCTCAAAGCTCCCTGCTCTACTTAGAAGCTTCTTTCTTGGTCCCTACAGAGAATCTAAGGCCTACAACCATAAGTGTAACTGCTGAGAAAGAGCAGCAGGGTGGTGGGTCAGGTGATCGAAGGCCACTTGTTCACATTTCCTACCTGATTGGCTGCGATTCCAAATTAAAAGAGGTGCTCAAAATGTGATATGTATATGTAGCAACTCCCTACAATGACTGCATTTACTGTGCATTGCAAACATATAGTAATAAAAAGAAGAAGAAAAAACAAATTAAAAGAGGTGGAGCTGCACATGGAAGCTACTCATGGGAGAATGTCACTCTCCATCACCCTCCTACACCTGCTTCTCAGACTGTGCTTCTCATTCAGCTGTGTCCTCATTTCAAGACACATGAGCAGGAGAGTCTCCGTGGGGAGATTAACACCAGGTGTGGGTGGGAGAAGGCTCAGAGCTTCTTAAGCCCAGCGCTGCTGGGTGCTCAGCAGCCTGTCTACACTGAAGCCTTCACTGCGGTAGGTGGGGCGTCTGATTCAGCAGCAGCTTTATGCTAGTCAGCTTCTGCAGTAAGCCACAGGCTTGATCACCAAATGCTCTGCATGCCTAGCCAGCAGGCCCTCCCCCTGTAGATCGCTAAGTTCTAGAGATTCAAGTGCTTGAGGAAAGTGCCTGGTCTCCCCCTCAGTTTCTTTCCCCTTACACAGAGAGATCACTGAAAGACGAACTAGAAAGATTAAACTGCTGCTAGCCTCCATGTTTGTGTGTGTCTGATATAAACATGAGCACACACATATGCACGTGCATGCACACACACACACACACACACACACACACACACACACACACACAGAGTCTCCCCTGTCCTATTTTGATATATCCCAGCAAAATGCTGTTGAAAGCTTCAACAGGAAGTCTTCACTTTGGTTGTCTCTTCTACACCCTCACTGCCAGGATGCTAACACAGAACTTTGTGTTTTGGCTAAACACAGTGCAGTATCTAAAATGGGTTTTTTTCTGGTGCCCTTGGAGCCTCTAGAGAACTCTAGTATTAAGAGTTCTCAGGGCTGAGGGTGTAGCTCAGTGGTAGAGCTTGTGCTTAATGTGCAAAGTCCTGGGTTCTAATCTCTAGCACTGCACAAACAAAAGCTGAAGAACTTTTCTCCATTCTCCCCAGTTCCCAATGTCCTCTGCTGAGTAAAACCTGTAGTTTTCAGATGTCAGGTTGGGAGGGGAATTAAAGCAAAGGAGGAATGTCCGGTAGGCAGTGAGGTGCACACTGCCCGGTCCTTACCATTGCATGTGGGGTAGCTGTCTGTCCAGGCCGGCTGCTGGTGAAGGAGGCTGCTGCTGGGGTTGAGATTCATTACACCACTTCCTTCCAGAATCATGATCTGTCAGGGACCAAACAGCCCATTTAGTCAGTGCTCCTTGGACAAACGTCATTTGGGGAACACAGATCACAGAGTTAATTTCAAAAGACAAAAAAAAAAAAAGAAAGAAAGAAAAGAAGGAGAGGGAGAAGAATGTGTTCACCTGCCCATTGCCACAGCACTTTCAGTAAAAGTAAAACTCACGGCAATTAAAAATTTCCAGGTTCGATTTTCATATGCATAAGGCAAGTTTTTACAGCCACCCATTCATAAATGAATAATCTCTGATCGGGAATGAAGTAGGAGGGAAATGCAACCCCTGCTCCCAAGGCAAGTCTGGCTGGCATCCAAGGGTGTGTGTGTGTGTGTGTGTGTGTGTGTGTGTGTGTGTGTGTGTGTGTGTGTTTACAAAGGTGAAAATGCAAAGGAAATTTTATTTAAAGTGGAATTTCACTTGATGAAATTTCAGACACAGCGCCTTTGCTGTCCTTGGAGGGCAAGAGCCTCAGTTGTATTTTAGCAGAGCTCCTCCAGGATTTGTCTTGGTAATCATATCAGAAATCGCTTGGTGTCTCTGATAGGCACTGCCCGTTTCTCGTAAAGAGAATTAAATTTTTCCTTGCTGGGAAAAGTTATGACCAGTTTTCTTGTCCTGTGACAGGCTTGGAGAACTCAATGGCTTTAAAGCTGACCCCAAGGTGACTTGGTCTGTGCAACCATTTTCTCAGTTAGAAGACCTAAGAGCAGAGCTTTCTTCCACGAGCCTAAACAATGTGAAAATATTACAGTTTTGATTATCCAGCATTTACGACAGTGCCTAGCCCTGAGTGGGACACACTCCACACTTCAGACCCAAGCCCTGGGGTGTGAGCAGTTATTGGAAGGAACAGCAGGCAGTTTCTGGAGGTTACTGAGCACTACCCAGAGGCTATAAAATTTGCTTTCTCTTTCTAAAATGCTAGGGTGGATACAGGAGAAGGCAGCTGCACTATCAGGCAGACCATGGAAATGTTTCTGCTTATATGGTGGAAATCTTTCATGTCTGAATACTACCAGTGTCTACAGATTGGAATTCATATCCCTTCCGAGATACAGTTCCAGGCTTGACACAGCCCCCACCTCCAGTCAAGCCTCTGCTTTTCTGCTTCTACATCGGGTCTGTGTGGGGATAAAAAGGAGCTCACAAAAGGCATAAAGATGCATTCAGGTATTCATTTATTCCACAAGTATTTACCAGTGCAATGAAGGGTTGGGCACTGTTCTAGGCTCCAAGGATAGAGCAATGATTAAGGGCTGAGCTAGCTTGGACACAAACATTTATAATTATCAGCATCGTCATCATTGTTGCTTGGTAAATAATTAGGCTCCAATCCAGCCTAAGAGGCAAATGGAGAAAGAAACATAGGCTAGGCATGATAGGGTAACAGTACATGGACAGCCCCCCCACCCCAGTGGGAAGATAGGAGAGCTATGACCCACGCCTTATATGAGAGTTCTGATTCCAGGACACAGAGGGTTGGAACTTCTCCCACTTCGCAGTTCAAGTTCATATTAACTCACACAAGTTACTTAACCTCCTGGGTCCCAGTTTCCTCATACACAAAAAACAAACAATCCTATCTAGCTTGAATATTGGTTGGAAATCAAATGGGTTCCTATACCTTGAGCACTTGGTACGAAGTAAAGGATGATTAAGTAGGACAGGTGTTATGATGAAGAAATCTGTTTCCTCTCTGGATAACTTGAACCAGAAACAACTCAGGGCCTCAGTTTCCCCATCTGAAAGTTTAGAGAAAGTAACTATGCTGGTTTTTAAGTTCCCTTCCAGAAGCTACTTGGGTTCTCACCTTTGGAGACAAAAAGTCAAGTCAGGTCAAACCATCCACTCTCTTTCGTTTTCGTCTAGAGCAATCACCCTAAAGCTAAGGAATCAGTCTGGAGACTTCAAGGCAAAAGAAAACCTCCAAGTCCCCAGGAAGGTGGCTGGGGGAGGAGAACGCCACCAGGCCTGGGCTCTTGTTTGCTCAAGGCTGGGCTTCTTCCTGGGTAGCTCTTGCTCACCCACAAGCAGTGGAAAGATTACTGTTTAACCCTGAGAGAGAGGGTGGGAGCTCAGAGGCCGCCCATCTGAAGGAGCACGGCCCTCCAGCTGGAGAGGCGGCCAGGAAAGGCTTCCCTCAGCTTCTCTCTCAAGCATTGGCCCTCGGGGCTCTTTCACAGTGGTCATTTCAGTGGGAGCAAGACCTGGCTGGCCACCTCTTAGCTACCACCTCAACTAGCTCCAGGATTTGATTCACTGCTCCCTAACTACTAGAAAGTGAGGGTCAGGTGGTACCTAACAGCCCAGCTTTGGAAATGGGGGGATATGGGTTTGGATTCCAGATCCCCTGCCCTCTGTGGATGACCTTGAGTTTCAAATCTGTCTAGTCAATAACTGCGTGAGCCTCGCTGTTCCCAGCTGTGAAATAGGAATAAGACCAAACTAGAGTGAGAATTCCATGTATTTGTGTAGAAAGACAAATTAGCAGGTAATGCAAAAGAATTGAAATAAATCAGAAGTGACTCAGTTCCTTCCCAGAAGACAAATGTCATTTCTCAGCATGACCTGGCAGTATCCATAACTACTCCCATCTCACAGAGAAGACTTTAAGGACTACAGGGTCGAAGCTTCCCCCTCCCCGAGGCTGTCCTGAGCTGAGATCTCAAGCTTTGCACCCCTTTTCTGAGGGAAAGCCGCCAGCACGGTGAGGGGCCCTTTTTATAAGCACATTAAATGGTTACCACTCATAAAAGAGTTTATGTGGCTTAACCCTTAGTGAGTCAGAGTTCACTGGAGCTCACCCAGGCTTGTGAGCAAAGAAGATCAGGGACTCAGACCCCACAGGGAGCTGCAGGGAGAGTCCCTTCCAAGTGGGCTAGCTACCCCTGAGGGCTCTGGCCACATCCTCCCCGTCTCCAAGGCCCCAAAATTTTTGGAATAAAATGAAGATATTTTCCTCCACCAGCCTCCCAAGATGGTTGAGGAGATCAACTGAGATAATGGATAATAAATGTGCCTTGAGAACTGTAAAAAAAAAGCCCTACCCTAATCAACACACCCCCACCCCCAAACACTAATCTGGACTCTTCATGGTATATACTAATTACTTTATAGGGTATAAAAAGCAAGCATTTAATTAAAAAGTAGGAGGACTACTAATGCTCTATTTTCTGCTCCTCTTTTCACTTGCAGCATCGCTGTCTTTATTTTCCTTAAAAAAAAAAAAAAAAAAAATGGATCAGTAGAGCCTTGGAATCAAACGTCCCAGCTAGATTCCAGGTCCCATCTTTCAGCCATGTGACCTTGAGTATGTTAAGCTTTCTGAGGCTCATTTTTCTTCCCTGGTTTAAACAGGGTGGGACTGAAGAGTGGGTCACAGTGATTTCCTCAAACCCTGGAGCTATTTGAAGATTCAATAATGCAGTGGGTTTAAAGGTGTCTAGTCCAGCACCAGGCACACACGCCCCCAAGGAAAACCACTTTACTTTCTTTTCACAGTAATTCTAGAGGAGGATCTTTAACACATATTACTTCTTCGAGTACTGTGACCTTAGTTCAGAGCACGAGGAAGACTGATTCCAATCTGTGTGTCCAAAGCAAGCTGGAATGGGGCACATTTCTCTCCATCTCAGCTTCTAGAGGAAATGGAAGGGATGGGAAGGAAAAGGGAAGAGATCCAGGGCCATATTAGGTAGTTATTAAAAGGGGAGTTTTACATTATCCCCTCAGCTGAAATTCAGGGCTAAATAATTCTCTTTTTAACATATTTTAAAAATTAATGCATATCTATACACAGTTATGGTATGCAATAGATTAATTCAATAAATTCATACAATGTGTAATTGTCAACTCAAAATAATTCGTATTTCTATCTTTTTGAAACATTTATTATTTTTATGTGTGGGGAAACTTTGAGCTCTTCCAGTTATTTTGAAATAGAACTTGCTATAGACTGTAGTTATTCTACTGTGCTTTAAAGTACTAGAACTAATTCTTCCTACTTAACTGCGTATTTGGTATTTGTTCTCCAACTGTTCTCTATCCCTCCTTCTCCTCACCTTCCTCCATCTCTAGAGGAATGGTGCTCCCTACTCCTGATAGGTCAACTTCTCTCATTGCCAGAAATGAGTGAGAACATGCAATATTGATCCTCCTGTACCTGATTTACATCGCTTAACGTGATGTCCTCCAGTCCTGTCCACTTCACAGCAAATGACAATATTTCATTCTTTTTAATGGCTGATAACATTCCCCTGTGTGTACACACCACGTTTTCTTTATCCATTCATCTGCCAGTGGCTAAGGAAATAGTGCAGAAATAAACATGGGCATAGGTGGGGCTGGGGAGTTCTCTACTCTGGGGCTGTCTTGTGCACTGTCCCATGTTTAGAAGTATCTTTACCCACTAGAATAACTCCTGGATCCAAATCCCCCTGGCTGAGAATAATGGCTGAAGACAAAGCCTATGGGGGCAGACAACGTAGGCTCTGATGTCTCACTGATGTGGCAACCATGGCCTGCTGATGAGACCAAGCTGCCATTTCCTCTCCTGGGTAACAGACGGCATTGGTCCCTACCTCACAGGCTGGTGGAGGATTAAACAGGATAAGAACCTCAGAGCCCACAGCAGTGCCTGACACAAACAGCAACTGCCTAATCAGTGGAGATTCAAGAAAATGCATTCTGTATGGAGCCACCTCTCTCTAGACCCAGGTGGGATGGGTGTGTGTTCTGGAAATATAGCATGAGTTATTGCTTACACTATTAAAAACTGAACACATACCCCAAAAAACTAAATTTTATTGAAAACCCAAATATTCAGGGATTTCTTCATAAATATCCTCAGATGCTTATCCTAGGTAGGAACATCAAGGGGAAGAGTGTTATGGGGCTGGGAATTTAGCTCAGCGGCAAAGCTCCTGCCTGGCAAGCGCAAGGTCATGAGGTCGGTTCCAACCAAAAAACCAAAAAAAAAAAAAAA